TGATCCATTTGTGATATTGTAATATTTTTGTGATATTATGTGACACTATTCTCATAATGTGTGACACTGTGATGTTTGTGATGTAATTGTAATGAATCTGTGATATTATGATATATTTGTGATATAATTGTGATCCATTTGTGATATTTGTAATATTTTTGTGATATTATGTGATACTGTTGCAATATTATGCATTTCTATTTATGAATCTCACATATTTGTGAATCTGACAGTTTGGTTTTATATTTTTATGAATACCTTTCACTCCAGGAGGTCCTTGGTCTCCTAGAATGACATTTGAAACGTATGTATAAGTAAAAATGCATATTCACTCCGTATTTCTCCAGATTTATCTACTGAATGTATTTATCTGTAAGTGTTACCTTTAGGCCCAGGTTCTCCTCTCTCACCCTTAAGTGAAGTTGCCAGTGAAACTATAATGAAATCATAAAAAATTATAAATGTTTAGGTAACTGACTGGATAAATCATATGTTTAGCATGAATAAATGGTAAACACCTCTAATGGTGTCCGACTGAAGTTCAGATCTGAGGATCTGTTGGATGGCCCTCTGCAGAACCACAGGGTCTTGTGCAGCAGATGCTGAACCCAGGTTTATAGTGTTATCGGCACGGACGCCAGGGATGCGCTCAGCGTATGAAGACTCCAGTGGATCAATGATATTGACAGCCGAGGAGGCGGAAAAACGACTGGTTCGAGCAGAGACTGCGCTTTCTCCGCCATCAATAGCGTCCACACGAGCCTTCAGCTTCCGGACCTCCTCACCTAGACAGAGAAATGTTCATTATGAAGGAAACTGTCAAAGTACAAGGTATACCAATTAGTCTCAAATAACATTTTGAGACATAATGTACCCAGTGCGATGAGACCACAGAGGAGTCCCAGCAGAAGGAGAAGACCTAAGATCAGTGCCAGAAGCCACTTCCACCACGAGCAGCAGGAACAGAATCCTAGTCCTGCGTCGTCAGACTCATCTTTACGGATCTCTGTTGTGACATTAGAATATGCGACTATGAACAAAACCAGATCCAACAGGCCATCATTGCTGAATGAGTTGATGTTTATGAAAGTGTTTCTATAAGACATTTACCTGCATAGGTTGCCTTGTCTTTTGTTGAGGCTCTGGAAGCTGAAAACACATAAATTATGGTTTTATTGGATGTAATTTAAGGGAGGATTTTACTATTAATTAAATAATATACAGTAAGTGACTTTATCTGAATGCACCAGTCATTGTGGATTCTGTAGTGCTGGAGATCATCTTTTTCTCCCTCTTGAGCGAATCTTCAGAATCTGTTATATAAAAAAACTTTCTGTCACAAATACATTTCTACTAAAACTAAATTGTTAATTAAAAAGTAAAATGTAAAATAATCATGTCATACACTGATCATAATGTACTTATTTTTTATTTATTTTAACAATTTTTGTTCAAAAGCTTGGGGTAGGTAAGATTTTGTGTGTGTGTGTGTGTGTGTGTGTGTGTGTTTGAATGAAGTCTCTTGCTTACAAAGGCTGCATTTATTTGATCAAAAATACAGTAATATTATTATTACAATTTAAAATAAGTCTTCATTGTCACATGATCCTTCAGAGGACAATGTTGTCTGATTTGCTGCTCAAGACACATTTCTTATTATTATCAGGACATTTTTGTGGAAACCACTATAAATATTTTTTTCAGAATTCTTTCATGAATAGATATTTTAAAAGAACAGTATTCGCAATAGAAACCTTTTGTAACAGTATAAATGTCTTTACTGTAACTTTTAATTAATTTAATGTGTTCTTGCTCAAGAAAAGTATTAATTTCTTTTAAAAACATCTCCAAATGTCTGAACAATAGTGTATACAGTATTTCACTATTTTACCCAGTTCAACTGGAACAACTAGATTTTTTTTTACTAATTAAATGACTTAATATGTATATTAAGCTACAAAAAAAGTCTCTGCTGTCTACCTGCTCCAGCACTGGTGGTGGAAGTGATGAACAGTTTGCCAGTGTTTTTGGACATGATCAGTCTCTCACTCTCTTTCTTAGCTGCTACATTTTCTTTTCCAATCGCAATAAACTTGCCATCTTTCACAAACACGTCATCAGCGGTGATAGGGCTGCTGGGAACAGCTGTGAATGTGACATGAAAAAGAAGAAATTTTCATTTGGTAATGTTGCAATGTTTTAATCTGACACATTTTTAAGTAAAATTATTATTACTAGTAACAGTGGTGGCCAATCCAGCGCTGCCAACGTTCTTCTGTGCCCCATACACTAGAAGTACAAACAGACATCATAAATCTCTTACTATAGTTATTTGCATGCACTGCATCAGTGTATTAAAGTCATTATACAGAGACAAGGTTGAGTTTACCTTGGCCAGCACTGATTCCATTAACCATGAGAGCACCACCAGATGTTGACAGGTTATTATGCATCCCATATGCTGAGAGGAACAGAAACACAGAGGGCAGCCATCAGCATAAGACCAGCTAACAGGGAATGTTCTGTTAACGTTCTGGCAAGGTTCTCTCAATGTTATCAACAAACATTATTCTGGTAATGTTAACAGGGCATTCGTTCAAAGTTGTTCGGTCTTTAATAACATTCTCAAAACGTTAGCACAAAAAAAATTTCATACATTCATATAATTCATGTTTTTTTTTATGTTTTAGTTGGACATTTATCTAACATTTTTTACTACTTGTTTCAGAATGTTCAGAGAGCATTCAAAAGCAACGTTTGTTCCCACAATTTCTGCTAAATGATCAAATGGAATGTTCCCTTAATGTCTTCTCTACTGTTCAAAAAAAAAAAAACGTTTTTAAAACAATTTAAAAACTGAACGTTCAGAGAACATTCAGAAATATCATTTTCTTAATGGGAACATTAGCAAAACGTTCATAAAACGTATTTTTGTTAGCTGGGGGGTACTTTATAAATTTTGGGGCATTTTAAGATTTAACCAGAGCTCAAAAATTAAATTATTATTTTTTGTGAAAGAAATTTTTTTTTTATTTAAAGATTTGGTGTAGTGCAGTGTGTTTTAATGTATCGTAATGGTGCCTCTTGAGGGCAGTGTGAATGTAATGACCTGCACTACTGAGGGCAGATGAGCTGAGGGTCAGATTATTCTGCATGCCACCTACAACGAAACAGCACATGATCAGTTACTTTTTTTATTAGTATCTTCAACTTTAACACACAGAAATGCATGTACACAGTCAGACACAACCACATTGTCTCTGTGTAACCTGTGGGTGATGATGGTTGTTGCAGTGTGGTGTAACTGAGATTGTTTGGGTTGGTGTAATATCCGCTGAATCCAGCATCCAGGACTGTGCCGTCATAACCTGAAAGACATAAATTAGTGGATTGGCTGTGCTGTGTGAATCACAGGCATATATCTGTGCTTGTGAGTGAGTGTTACCTGACTGGCTCTCATGACGGGTGTCCACAGTGGCTTTTTTCGGGATAGGTAGAGTGTTGGTGGGAGAGCGAGGTGGACTGATGCTCCCGGAGCGACTTCCCTTCAGTAATCTCTTCACATCATCCAGCTCTGTCCCTAAATATATGACACTACCTATCATTTCCTGTAACTCAAGGCCACACTAACTAATATCTTACAAAAATATCTTAATATATATAACATATATCCTATATGCAACATATACACTGTAATAATCAATATATAATTTAAAAGGTGAAATAACGAAAATAATGTACATATAATATTATATTATGCAAGTATTAGCCAATTAGTAAATTAACACATAATAGATTTTTGATTGAACGTGAGTAACACTGACATCTAGTGGAGGGAGAGGCACTCTGCAATCTGGCTCTGATCTCACTCTCTGAAAAGAAAAAGATAACATTAAGATTTAAAATTAGACCTAAAGATGACATAAATTAAAAGAGCCGTTTTTTACTTGTTTTTTTTTTTTAAATCTAATTTAAGATGGTTGTGAAGTTAGTAAAACTAAGTATTATATATCAGAAATACCAAATACCTCGTGTTTGAGCGCGTCCTCTAGGGGCAACACTTGTCGAAACTGCCGAAAACAACAACAACAAAACATTGAAGCTGAATTTTGAGAAACGCAAGTATCACAAATGAAATAATAATACTAATAACAAGAACAAGATTCATATTATAAGAGAGTCAGTCGTTGCTTATTTCTACCCGACATCAGTACACTTTCACGAACATAAATCAACAAAAGGCCGCTAGCATTTTTGTTTTGCTAGATCATTGTCACGACATAAATACTGTAATGATGTATTACTTTATTATAGATTTGTATGTATTGATGACGTATTTTGTACACATTTTCTGTCCAATCAAATGCTCCCAATAACGAGCATGTCCCGCCCCTCAATGCATAATACAAGCAGGTAGCAAATCACGGTTCACGGGTGTGACTTATCCCTTACGAAAAAGAAGTTTATTCAAGTGTGCTATTAGTATACTTCTTTTAAACTAAAAATAGGAAAGTATACTTTTAGTCTACTTTTTATGTACTTCTCAGAAATGGGCTTTATGTACTTCTCAGAAATATACTTAAAATGACATTTAAGTATACTTGACTTACACTTAGAAAAAGTCTAAATATATTTCAGCTATAATTGTGCTCCTAGAATCCATGTTTTCATTGTTATACTTTTAGTATAGTTGCAGTACAAACTAAACATTTTGATGTAAACTAGTTGTGTACTCAACGTTTACTACTGTTATACTTAAAGTATACTTAAAAGTATAGTTTTATATACTAGAAAGTGGGCCAATTTAGTCCCAAGGAGTATTGAAATAGTACACTTACAAGTATACTACTAGTACACTGATATTTGTATACTTACTACATAAAGTATACTTAAAAATATACTTGAACTTTACTTAAGTATACTTACTAAAATAAACTTGAAGTATACTACTTTTTGGTAAGGGATTTAAAGACCATTAGCTATATTTTTAAAAGGGGCGGAACCAGTTAAACACGAGTAGGTGAGAAAAAAGGTGAGTTTGTGGGTTTTGTAAATTGTGCTGATTAATGATAAATGAATGATTTCTGTCATGCATACTACAAATTACAAATTTGTTTTTCCCCCTGAAATTCAGACCAGTCCCAAAACAAAATACTAAATGGACATAGCCTACCATATTCTTTCTTTACGTATTCAGGGGAAGAATTGCCACTGGAGCTCCCTGGGTAAATATAAATTACATACATACTGTTTAATCTGATTAATAATGCCTATTTTAACTAATATCAACAATTACACACACAGTGTGAAATTCCTCTCATTTGAAATCAATATATCCTAAAGGGTCATAATCTCTGATTTACCCTCATATCCTCCAGTGTGAAGGCTCAGACTGGTCTTCCTCTCTGCAGGAACTGTGCTGTAACTCAAACCTTTCCTTGTTCCACTAGGCGACGAGGAGCTGAACTTGGTCACAGTCATGGAGCTGGAAGTTCCTGAGGCAGACATGACTGCAGAGGAGCCAGCGCCACCTCCTCTACCTCTGGATATGTTCATACTACCTCCAGAAACACTAACAGAACCGCCTGAAGAACCAGACACAACCTCAGAGGAGGAGATGCACCCGTATCCAGAGGAAAGATCTCCACCTGTTGCTGAGGAACCACCTACTGTTGTGATGGAGGTAAAGACACTGCTAGAGCTTTTAACTGCAGAGCTAGAACTTTTAACTGTAGAGCTACTAATCGGTCCGGTTACACTGATTTCGCGAGATATTTCATCAAATCCACTAATCACAGATCCTGCTCCTGAACTGCTGCTGCCTGAACTTCCAGACGAGGAGGCTGGAGAAAAGAGAGAATTACTTATCAACTTCAATAATTGGGCAATACATATTTCTACTATGGATATTCCAGTAGATATGTTGTACAGGCTGACCAACAGCTTTGTGAATTAATAATAATTGTAATAATTTTGTGAATTAATAATAATAATTTTTTTCTGTGTATCTCAGTAGCTGGTTAAAGCTGGATGATTTCTGGACTCACAGGATATGACATAACTTCTGGAAGCGCCTCCTTCAGCATTGATCTGGGTGATGATCTTCTTCTCCACCAGAACAGTTCCTCCTGAAGCTCCTCCGGAGCCTGAGCTGTTCACAATGGAAGTCAGTACCTGTTGGCTGCTCACGGAGCTGCTGTTGCCCTCTAGTGGTGAGACACCAAATAACATTCAGCAGGGAAGAAGATTTCAATTTAGAGAACAGCACAATTAATAGTTTTTAATGTAACTATTAATGTAATTATGTAGTTATTTCAGAAATGTTATTTAAACCTACTTGGAGGTAGAGATGACAGTCTTGTGGTTGTTACAGTTTCTGTGTGTCTTTGGATTTCTGTAATTTTTTTATATAATTCAGATCAAGGGACAAATTAATTTACATTATATGCACAATTTACAGTTTTACTAATTGTCATACATTACTTAATTCTTAGAAATATAAAGGTGTTATTTTTCCATGCTCACCTTTTCCAGATCCTCCAGATCCCACCTCTGCTTTCACAATCTTGGTTGTGGTTAGCTTGTCCATTCCATGTTAATTACTGTAAACCAAAGTGACTCTTATTAATAAAATAAGATTTTTTTTTAGCTTTTTTGTTTATGTATCATCAACTTCATTAATTCAACATGCTTTTCAATAAATGCATGCAAATAGAAAATGAACAATGCAGGACTATTATTTCAAAAGCAACTTATTATTTCAAATGCAGCTCATTAAAGCATATCCTTAGTGGTTGATAAATTAATTTACATCCCATTAAATTATCCTTTTAGCTAGTAAAGATCTTTATCTTGCTTTAAACCTAGCTTTGTGGTTTCTCTTGCCTTCTATTCTTTTTACAATATGCAGCAACACCTTCCCTTTGCTTAAAATAAAGTTTACAATTAGACGATTTTAATGCCTGATGCAATAAGAAAGAGTTTAATGCCTGATACCTCATTCTTTGTTAATATATATATATATATATATATATCTTCTAAACTTTTAATAAAAAGAATCTAGACACTAATACACTAATTTAACTGAATAACCAAACAGCAACTCAACTCAATTCTTTACAGCCAAAAAGTATTTTTTTGGGGGGAGTTACAAGAGGGTTCTTTGCTGAATCCAAGATTCTCAAGAACACAGTATATACATTTTTAAGTCTGTTCATTTAGTTAACCAGCTATGAAAATGCAGAAAACTGCATCTGAATTTTATTTACAAATGTACAAATTAAAATAAACAAATACTACAAAAGCATATTTATGAAACCACAAAATTCATTAAAAAAAGTCAGAATTTTTGCTCAGAAGAAATCGACGCTTACCACTTGTTATAGTTTACCGTCTCATGTCAAATAGTCTGTCCTCTATCAACACACTGATGTTTTTCAGTTCAAGTTCAATCCCAGCACCCCTCATAAAAATATTTTTCAGCTTGGATTTCAAGCTGTGTAATAGTCATCATTACACCTGTAAAACAGTAATGATGTGTTCGCCTGGCATTTATTCACTTTCAAGAGACTTTCTCAAGCTACTAGGAGCTCTACACCCTGAAATTACTCTGCTAATGAGTCATTCATGAATGGCAGACTGAAAGATACACAGAGCTACGGTCATGAATCTATTATACAACTAAATCAGAACAACAGCCACTAAACCCACACTGCATAAACAAACTCGTGTTTATGTATGAGTATGTGTCTGTGCTTGTTCTGTAATACGTATGACATTTTTTCTGTCAAGTTTTGATCATAAATTATACGTCTAAACATAATAAGCTCATGACCACAAATGAATACTTACAAGATATTTTCCTTTACAGATTAGTTTCTTTCAGTATGTTGATGATGGAAGCTACACATAATTGGGATTCATTTGAGCTGAAAAAAGTGTAATTCTTATACATCAAACGTTAACTGTCACCGTCCCACCTGTGGGACGCTTGGTGCTCTTTTTTTGTTGTCCTTTTTCCTCTATCAAATCTTTTAGTAATCATCATAAAGTATATATATATATATATATCATTTGAAAGCTTAGAAGCCCAAGATTCATCCTGTGAAAACCATTTTGAAATCGGACATTGCGTTACCATAGAAATGGTACTTTAAAATCCTTTGGTGTTCTCCTCCCCCTTAGTGGGCAGTGTCAAGTGTCATATTACAAAATGCATTATGGTCTTTTAGAATCAAACCTTTTTATAATCTTGACAAAAAACATACCACCTGTGGGACGCTTGGTGCTCTTTTTTTGTTGTCCTTTTTCCTCTATCAAATCTTTTAGTAATCATCATAAAGTATATATATATATCATTTGAAAGCTTAGAAGCCCAAGATTCATCCTGTGAAAACCATTTTGAAATCGGACATTGCGTTACCATAGAAATGGTACTTTAAAATCCTTTGGTGTTCTCCTCCCCCTTAGTGGGCAGTGTCAAGTGTCATATTACAAAATGCATTACGGTCTTTTAGAATCAAACTTTTTTATAATCTTGACAAAAAACATATCATTGGAAAGGTCTGAGTCTTATTTTGAGATAGAAGTAATATTGACAGAGAAATCTAGACATTTGTGACAAAAAAAACTGCATACAATTTTTTTTAATGGAGTTTGGATGGCACCCGGTGGCTATTTGTGGTATGGCGCCCTAAATAAAATGTCACAGGAACCTCCATTTTTTTCATATCAACTTCAAATTTGGAACATAACTTATTTAGACATAAGGCTTTAATTTTATACCAATTTTAGAGTAAAACCTGTAAAATATTTATAATAAATAAAATAAAATAAAATTAATATAGTGCATTTTATTTACAGTACATTTAAACTTCTATAACTTTTTGATACTTTTTGCAAAATTCTTTTGCAATAATCTGCTGACTTTCTTCTTTAAAAAGAGACCAACCTTAGGTCTGTATTCCAAAGTGTTAATAAATTACAACAATTTAAGTTTGGATAGTGCACTTTCATGCCTATTTTAAAAAATGGGGGGTGACAGTTAAGGGGTTAATAGACAGATCAAATCTTAGAAGATTCTTCTATATTATGGATTATATAATAGATTTTTTCTTTGACTATTCCAGTTTGAAGCCTGACAATGTGCCAAAAAATGTCACCCTTTCATTGCCAGTGTTTTTCATTAACAGGTGAGCAGTTTGGCTGTCCCTAGTTTATCACCAACCTGACAGACTTTTCCAATCTGTGAACACACAATCTTGAACTTGCACTTGAAAACAGTACCAGCTCAGTCATAAAATCGAACAATGCAGTTTATTCAACAGGAAAGTCCCTCAATAGCAAAACGACAACTTTTCATTTAAAAGAGCATGTTAAAACTCACCTTGACTCTTGTTTAAGCGAAATGAGTATAGTCTTCTTCTTGTACCCCTGTTCTTCTGTATAAAGATGTGCTCCAAAAGCGGTTATATTTACGAGCAGGCACGTTCAGATATGATGAGTAATCCAGGACCCGGCATGCATGCTTTTTACCCCTTTACATGCAATATAGCAGTTTTTCTGACCTACAGCCACTTACAGGCGAGTTTTGACAAGACGAGGGGGGCTGTCACATCATGAGACCCCTGAGGCACTTTTATTTGCAAAAACAAGGAACACAAATCATTATGGCCCAGATAAATTGCCTGGGAGAAAGTTCTTTAAGTGGAATTATGATGACTTGAGGATAGATCGCAACCTGTTCTACATGTTATGAAAATTAGTCTTGCTTCCATTGCATTCTGTAGCTATTACTAAAATGAGATGCATATATTGGCAGGAGTCATGGGAATTATACCTGGCAATAGGAAAGTCATGAAGTCCCTTCAAATTCCTCACTGAGCATCCAAATGCTTGGCAGTAGTGATGACCATTTGTACTGTTAGAATGCAAATGGTCAGCACAAACTAGAGTAAAGATGTCAAACCACTAAAAATGATGTGGCTACAATGGTTTTCACTGGATGTTAGAAGGTGTCAATTAGATGTTGATGGTTGAGAGGATGTTGAGCATTAGACATATTAGGAAAAAATGTAATTTTCATTGATGGGGGATTTTTTAAGGATCACACACCTGCCATCCAGTGTGACACAGAAACACAGTGAGCTCATCATGATCATCCTTTTGGGTATTTTTGGATTTTTCAACAGGTGTGACAGAACGAAGCAACATCTCAATGAGTCACATTGGAGTCATTTGATCAGTCAAATCTGTCATTACAGCATCTTACTCTTGATCATTGACATGTCCTAATGTGACTGATGGTTATTGATTTACAAATTTAATTAGTAAATCTTAGATAAAAGCATGTTTTGCGTTATAAGAAATTTATTTTTTTTACCTTGTATTTGAGTTAATTAATTTATTTTATTATTGTTTTTATTTCATCATTATTATGTCTTAACCAAAAGAAAACTGCTCACTGTAAAAAAAAAAAAAAAGCACAGAAATATTTAAATTTCTCCAAGACAATTAATACAATTTTT